CATTCTGACAATATGCAGTAACTTCACTTCACTTCACTCTGATGTCTTAAACTCTATCCATGATTTAACATACACATTACACACAACCTTCAAAATTTGTGGTACAAGAATAATAACAAAATATAAGTTGAAGCGCAGTTTTTCGCTCCTCTTTCCCCACCTTGCAGTCAGATGTGCTTAACTACAAATAGGGGTTGATAACACATTTCTATAGCAAAGTATAGTTAATCAATACGTTGCCCCTTTTTCTCCAGCACGATTTTCTCATGTCTTCTGCAATTTCTCTCTTTCTTTTCCTTTGCGAGAATCCAAGAATTTTTGTTGGGTTTTCTTCTGTTTTATATGTCTTATTGCTCGGAAGTTGAGTTGCCTACCCAATACTGCTTCACGGCAAAAAGTAATTTTTTGGGAAAAAGGGGCCCATCTTCATGATCGACCATTTTAGAATCGTATCTCAAGCCACCGATCATTCTCTTCACTTTCACGAGCACATCCACATTGTCTCGGAATATAATGGTTCCCTCTGGCCGAAGAATTCGGTCCATCTCCAACAAAATGTCTTCAAAATCACACCTGTGAATGTTTAATTTCGAATTAGCAAGAATATCGAAACATAAACAAATTAAAAGACATTTTTCATCTTTTCTTGAAAATATAATAAGCTATCAATAATTATAAACCTAAACAAGAAAAAAAAAAAGGCATAGAACTATAGAAGATACATACTTATCCTTGTATAAGCTAAACACACCATTCGCATGAATGAGATCGTATGTTCGTGGGTACGTGGAAAAGGCCTCACACCTGAACAAAATATGCCGAAAAACCATATCAACATACAACCCAAATGGATTTTGCAGCAAAAGAAGATTAGCGATTCAAGTAAAATCTGAGCATCAAGAAACAAACAATAGGCACTTTGTTCGAAAAATCAGACACTATAACAGAGACCTGAAAAATGATAATAAAAAAAAAATCGTACCAGTCATGATAGATGCCGATCAACCCTCTTTCATATATAACGCCAAGAGTATTCTTATCGGCAATAGTGGGCACAACATTCATAACCCACAGCTTGGGAGACTCGAGTGCCGCTGCAAATCCCCCAAATCCGGCGTTCATATCCATAATGTTCCGGAACCTTCCGGAGTCGATAATCTTGATAATCTTTCTATAGGCATTCACATGCTTTCTCCATTGCTTGTTATCCTCTTTGTACGCCTCGACTGACACGCCAAGAATCGAGCCACTAGCAATTCGTGGGGGTACAGAGTAAAGCCTCTCAGGGAATGGTTTGAGTTCACTACTGTTAGCAATGTCATAACGGGTAATGCACGGCTCCATCTTTTTGTACCTATGAAAAGACATTACATGCTCGTTTAGTTTAAATCACATGAATGAGAGTGAAGAAAACGAGCCAAGAAATAAAAAAGGCGGCTTTTTTCCTTCTATTTATGTGATAAACATATTCTTTAAATGCTCGTTTAGCATTTAAAGAATATTAATAACTACACCTAAATAAAAACAAATAGCAGATGAGTTACTTGATAAGATTTCTTGAATTGTGCAAAAGCTTCCAAAAAGATTGATAATTTGGAAAGAGACACTAAAACCCATCTACTATGTGCACTATATATCTACTCACTTTTTTTTTTTTTTCAACTCAACACTCGTTCAAGGGCATAATATGTGGTATTTTCTAATAGTTTCCATATTACGCGTGCTTTTATTTTTATTTTTATGTTTCACATTCACATGCATACCAGACATTGTCAGTATCTTCAGATTTACAGAACTCAGCTCCCGAATTTTCTTGTGCTGCACGACATGAATCTGTATCCATTGATTTCTGCCAAATAGCAATTTCACCTTTCTCGGATTTCTTTTCCCAGCAGAGAAGCTTAGCAACCTCTTCAATCTTTCTCTGCTGCTCCTCGAGTTCTTCCTTGGGCCTCTGCCATGCCTGGTAATTGGTCCTCCAATTGATGGGTGGGCCCGAAAGCACCCAGTAACCACCAGGTCTAAGCACACGATCGACTTCATTCATATACAGCCCGTCTAAGCACAAAAGATTACAAAACAAAATTATAACGGGCAACTCAACTGATTTTCTGATCAAGCATATTATGCAATTGAACTATGGCATTTATGCACAAACTTAATTTAGGGAAAATTATTCATTGCAACATGTATCGTGCATGCCTTTTACCCTTGCAGCTCAAACATTTTTTTTTTTTTTTTTTTTTATAAAATTTTATAATTTTGTTATAATCGTTATTCTTCAGTATTTTTTATAATATGATAAATTATTTATGAATTATAAATAATAGGGGCACTATTATCACTTGGCCCAGTGCCTCTAATTTTCCAGAACCGGCTCTGCCTAGAATTTGTAGATTATGTGTGGGATGTGAATATCAAGAAGATGACTTAAGGATAATGATGAAAACTAAAATAAAATCAAAGTCGAGGCACGTAATAGTTGCCGCTACAAAAAAATTAATGCTATATTCCAACGGAAAATCTTATAGTAATATATTCTAACTGAAATTCCAATGGATATTCCAATGGTATAGCTTCCATTGGAATCATTTCAACGAAAATATCCCGTTGGAATGTATTTTTCGTTGAAATTTTAGATGGAATTTGATGATTCCAAAGGCTATATNACAAACACACGCACACACACATACCCCACATCCAGTATCCAATGCAGTCCTAACAGTCCCGTTCTCAATCGGCACAACCGACGCCAGCTGGTCAATATACTTATCAGCTCCCTGAGGAAACTGTGTGCCTCCACCAGGAAATCTAAACACATTCCCTTCATACTGAACCCAGTTCTGAATAGCCTTCTCTACTGTCAAGCTCTTATACGGTACATTTGCATAAGGAACATAATCACGGCTCTTCGGCCATGGGAATGGGGACACATACCCATCAGGAGCTGGAATAAGGCAACGGAGCCTTTTTTCCTTAGGTGGGCAGTGCCTTTCGCGGTAAAGCATATTCTCACGGGATAATTTCATGGCTCGCCTTTGGTCCTGGCAAGGAGTGTAGTCGGTGTACTTTGGGCTGCACGGTTTGTACATTACTGGCTTTCTTGAATACGGGTCGTCGATCACGCCAGCCTGGCTAGCATGGTGGGTCTCGAAATTGAGGTTCGGGAGGATGTCGCAATTTTCGTCGGTTTTGGTCATTTGCAGTGCTATGGAGTCCCCTTTTCCGAACCCGCTCCTCTGCCACGCGCCCAGCAGGTAGAAAAAGGAACAGAGGCCAGCTATTATAAATATGGTGATCGGGCCTCGGGCCCGAGTGCTGTTGCCCGAGGTTAACCTGTTTGCCATTACGGGCCCTGAAAGCGTTTTTTATTCTTGAGTTTAGCAGAAATTAATTATTCAGCAGCTGTGATCAAGTCACGGTTTGTATTTGTTGTTTCTGAATTCGAATATAAATGGAACTGTTAATGAGAACCCATAAACTACAGTGAATAATCAATCAATATGTCATTCCAATTTGACAGAAGTCGCCTATGAATTGGCTAGTGATTTAACAAGAAACAGAAAGCTAAGCCACTTTAACGTCAGTAAAATTAGATAGCTAAGCGTCTGCGTAAAACGATTATTCACACATCAAAGATTCAAGAAAAACCATTTTTTTCTGGCGAACTTAGGCTTTTATTATNCCCAAAAAAAAAAAAAAAAGGAGCGAAAACCAGACATAAAGCTCCAATGGGTCTCTTTACATCCCGACAACATATTCAGGCAAGCTTCGATTCGTAAAACAGAAGCACGGAACAAAGAAAATTTTCAAGTGACGTCGATAAAGAATGCAATGAAGAACTGAATCTCATACCAAGCGCATGCCCCGGCACTGGAATCTGAACCAAGGATCTCGAAAGCTTGTATCTTTATGCTACTAGCTTCCCCAAAATGCTGAAAACGAATTGGATGACTAGATTCCGAACATGAAACGATAGAGAACTTGGGTGAATCAAAAACCCTAAAATGTTTTGATGCTAAATCTTAATTTAGGCATCCAAATCTGTCTCAGTACTACTGATTCTATATGTGTCTCTCTATGTATTTAAATCGAACATGCTCCCCCCACTCGCTACTCACAGTCACAGTGTTCTATCCTCTCTCTCTCTCTCTCTCTCTCTCGTGGGATTTTCACTCATCATAAAAGGGAAATTTACAGTCGGACCCGACCCTACTCATGTATTGGTAACTTATGTCAATCCAATTATTTTAAAGGTGTGTTTCAGTGTTTGTATATAAAAAAATTCAATTAATATTCAATTCCTTTTCAAAATATAATTAGTTCGTACGATGTACGGAACAGAGATATTAAATGACTTATTTTCACACTTTGTTAGTTTAAGTCTAAAAAGCAATAGATTTATTATCTATTTACCACCTCATTTGATCAGCGTTTAATCTAAAAAACAATAGGTTATAATCAATTTTTTACCTTTTTTAATCAGCGTTGTTTTTTAGCCAAAATTAAATATAAGCATGTTTGGGCCAACTTGTAAAATAATTAATATATTATCTCATTAATACAAATTTTGATTTTAGTATATATATTTATTCCTTCATACAAGAGAACATAATAGTTTTACTTATTCCTGTTCACCATACAATAATTAATTATTATTTTATTATAAAATTTGTTGTCATATAATGTCATTATTATTTATAAAAGTTATAGAAGTTGTACGTCTTTTTTTTCTTTTTATTTTATGTTGTGAAAAATATTTAATGAACGTTAGTATTATTTATTTATGTAATCAATTTAAAATTCTGTAAATAAATTTAAAATTAAATAATGTATAAATATTTTACAAAATATACATACTTGTATTTTTAGAATTTAATTTTGTATATTAATTTTATTTTTTACCATTAGTAAAACTATCTAATGTATTTGGTCATTATGTCTTAAATGGTAAATTATACTAATTTGAAAAATAATTTATTTTTTATATATAACGAAATAAAGCTTAAGAAAAAATTATATTGGCAAAGATTAATTCACCAACTTGATTTCACTTGGTTAATTAGAAGAAATAATTCTACTTAACCTGTTACGATTTTTTATAAATATTTTTAGATAAAAAGTGAATATTTGTGAAAAAAAGTTAATATTATGGTTAGAACTTAAAATATGTTGTAATATTTATCTTGACCTAAATATTATTAACATTGATGGGTCTACTCTCAGATCTGGAGTGAACCGGTGGTAAGGAGCTCAGATCTGTTTGAATCGCCTTCGAACCGTTGCTAGACCGCGAGAATACCTGCAAAAACTCAACGCCGGAGGTGTTTCCGGCGTAGAGCCTCCGACGCTCAAGTCAGTATGAGAGTGATGAAGAGAGGCTGCGCAGCAGCTATGAGGGAGAGTGGAGAATGAATGAGAGAAAGTTAGGGTTTAAGGTTACCTCACCTCCTTTATATAGGAGGAGATACTTACTTGAAATCCCTGAAATACCCCGGCTGACTTACGTAAAGGGTCCAAAATGCCCCGATCGGTTCGTCTCCTCTTGCTGCTGAGTCATCACAAGATTCTCCTTATCCCTTGAAGGATGTAGAGCCTTAAGTATGTTGTAAGTGTGATGAGTCGTCATCACATCTTTGGTCTTCGAGGTATACAGAGTCGGCCCTGAGAGCTAGGAGGTCGACTTATGATCATATGAGGATTCGGAGGCTACGCTTGGTAAGTTCTCTCGAGTGGAAGTCGTCTTTAGAAAATCGGCTTAGTGAAGTCGACTTAGGGTATCTGAATGCTCGGAGGTTACGCTCTTGTTGCTCTTCTTATACAGATGTCGACTATTGGGAGCCGACAGACTGAGGTCGACCTGCGAGAGTCGACTGGCAAGATTTCTGCCTCTTCACGGTCGTTCTACGGAGGGTCGACTTTGCGGAAGTCGATTTGAGTATGTCGATGGGAACGTATCGCCCTGTGGACGGTCTGAGTTGTTATCTGGTCGAGTAGAGTTCTAGAACCGGTATATGATAATATGACTATATCAAACATGAATCACAAAAAATCAATCTTGAAATTTATTATAATAGCTATTAATCAAATTATTGCAGATATTAATAAAATTATTTAAGGAAATGTGTAATAATATGAAAAGTCAAGCTTTCAGTATATAACACTAAAACTATGTCCAACTTTATACCTGTCAAGCCCCCCAATTTTGGGAGAGGGGCAAGTAGACCCACAACAGCTAGAAGGCTAGAACCTGATGAGGTTGTGCCAAAAGAAAAGAAGAGGAGGAGAAGGCGGAAATGTGTTAATCCCCACAAGATTCCAAGGCAAAAAAGAGTGTGATCACTTTTAGTAACTGTGGTGCAAAGGGTCATAACAAAAGACATTGCAAAAGCACATCCTTAGGTGAAATGTCTAGACAAACTGAATTTGCTAGTCAGCTCACTCAAGAAGATAATCTCCCTCCTACTCCATAGGTGATAATATAATTTTTTCTTATCTTATATGCTTATTCTTATCCTTTACATAATTTTTTCTTTTTTCATAATTACATAGGTTCATGAGAATACAACAACTGCATTTGCAAGTCAAGTCACTCAAGAAGAAGCTATTCTCCCTCCAACTCCACAGGTGATGATGATAATCATAATGTTATTTCATTTATTTCATTATATGGACTTAATTACTTGCAATTTATAGGTCCCTAAGACCTCAATTCCCAATCCTAAGAAGCCATCAAATCCAAATCAGCATATTGTTATCCAGGTGATAACTATTAGTAAAGTTATTTACATTTTCATCATAATATGGTGCTGCTATCATGATACTAAAGTTTTTACTGCTTTTCAGGATGGTGCATTGCATGAGGCTACCCATGAACAACCTCCAACCATATGGGACCAACTTCAGTCCCAACAATGAGCTTGGTGGATCTTTAGCATATAACATGAAGCCACGGAAATATGTCACATTTTCAGACTTGAATGCATGTCTTGCTAAACAAAGTACAAAAATGGTACAGGGGAAGGACAAAAGAAAGAAGAAGAATTGATGTAGTTGCCTTTTTTGGATGAAGAAACATTAATTAGTGTTTTGATTATGCTATGGTTTGATGTTCTTAAGATTGTTTTTTGGATTGAAACTGGGATTGGCTGTGGTTAGCTTATGTTTGGGATCTTAAACACTCAACTTTTTGTGTTATAATTATGGCAATGGTTTTATGATAAGCCTATGTTGGTTTTATGGTTATTGATATGGTTATAGCTTTGGCTATGGTATGATGGTTTAATCTGCTTATACTTATTGCAGTTGTATGAGGTTTATGCCTATGGTTTGATGGTTTTATGCTATTTTGGTGTTGTAGACTTGAGTGTTGGGATGATGTTTTTAGTGCTATATTAGGTTCTAATCTTTTTATAGGAAATCAATATAACCAAACACATTATAAGAATAATTGATCATATGTTAGCTTCTAACAAGATAACCATAATTGATCCTGGGTGAGGTTCAAACACAAGATATAAACACATGATAAGCATAACCAATATAAGATTCTTAAACAATAACTTTCTTTTTTGGTTAAAAACAAACTCACTTATGGAAAACAATATCAAGCCAAAACTGATCCTTAAAGATGCATTGATAACAATGTAGCAGATGCATTGATCAAGAACTTGTGCTTACACACACACATGGAACTTCAACTTCAACAAATTCTTAGAATCTCTACACTGAAATTGCTAGTACTTTCTTACACAAATCCAACACATTTTAACAAAATACAAGAATAACAATGTGGCTGACTCATTAGACAAATCCTAAACACTTTAACAAAACAATTAAACACCAAGAAATTATTAAGTACATCTTCCATTTGCGCCTCTGATTCTCCAAATTTTCAACTTGTTTCATCAGAGTATCCTTCTCTTCACGAAGGTTCCAGATGACATATGCAGTACATCATGGAATTGAGGGATCTTTCCAAGAAAAAAGGTCACAGCCTCCATCCTGAATTAGGGCAACAATTGTGTTTCACTTATAAATAATGTTTGTGAATTTTGAAAGAAGAATCAATACATGGCAGAACAGATAGAGCTTGAGTACACGTTTAAGAAAAAAGAGTACCTCCCAATCTTCACACCTGCGGAATCGCCTACCTGGGTTGGCTTGAGTCCACGAGGTCCACACCTTCGCTTTCTTCCCACATTCACAAAACGGGAAAACCCTGCGGGTACTGAATGACGAGGACATGGTGAATTTGTGACTCCCAAATTTGGCAAGAATTTCGCAAGAGCTCTCAACAGTTTTTCTGATTGAGCGATTAGGGTTTGCGTGTGCAATTTTCCCTCCAATTTAAGGCATTAGTCGATCGATATTCTCAACTTGGCGCATAAAAGAAAAGAAAAAATGAAAGCAAAATCCATGTCAGCAGCCGGTAAGAATAACCTATGGTAGCTGGTGTGAGGACGATTTCTCACGATTTTTGGCACTTACGGGACGCTTTCCAAAAGTGGGTATCGGAGAGGAATAAATCTCAATTTGGGTCCACTTACAGGACTAAATCTCTAATTTTTCCTACAATTGGCTCCAATTTGACACAATATTTCATTGATTCTTTCAGTTGTCCGCTTCATGGAATTAGATTTATTGTTGTATTGTTGTATTGTTCAGGGAATTAATTCTTTCAACTTGTTGATTATGTTTCCTTCAATACCACGATTTACTAAGATTTAGGGATAATGTTGATTTGCACAATTAATTTGTTATATATGTATACTCTTACTACACACGTTTTATAATTTTTATATATATTGACTTGAACATAAAAAAACTCACTCATTAATTAAGGTATTTAGTAATAAATATTTTTAGATTGAATTGTAAATTAATATATAAACAATTTCGAATGTTTGTTTCAGAAACTGTAGTTGATTAAAATATTTCTAATAAATCATGTAGCAATTAATTGTGATTATGTTTTTTCTAACAAAATGCGTAGGATATA